GGAATGGGGCTGGTACGTGGCAGAGATGGACACCCCTTGGGTTGGCCTTAGATTCTTCTTGGTGTGAGGCAGTGCAGGAGCTGGTTTTGGGGTAACAACAGCCTTGTCTGGAGTAGGGAACAGAGAGGTGCCTCCTGTTCCCTGCGGTGGGCTAAGTGGGCCCCCAGCCTGCCCCATCTTTCCTGGTGCTTTCCTCCCTTACGCTTGTGGGGTCCCAAGGGTCGAGACAGACCGGAGGTTGTGGTCCTACTTGTCCCTGGCAGGGAGGCCTTCCAGGGGGTGGGCTGTCACCCCTACACCTCTAGCCCTGCCTGGACCCCTGCCCGGCCGTTCACTTTCTCGCCATCTGCTCCCCAGGACCTCTCTGCAGACCTGCTCTCGCTGCTGGAGGCTCTGCTCCCGCCACAGCCCCAACACTGACCTGGACGCACCCTGAGGGCGGAGCACCTGCTGCCCCACAACGCCTGTCCAGACACTGGCAGCTTGGAGGACGTGTGTGACCCCTTGGACAGCTGCGGGGATGAGCTGCCTGCGCTGGAGCCGGAGCTGTGCTGGACATGCTGGGCAGCCACAGCTGGATGTGAATAAATCTTTGTGCCCTACCCGTGTGTGTCCGTGTGGATGTTCCCTGGAGCTGGGCATGGGATGGGGTTTGGTGTGCCCAGGGATGCCGTGTGCCCAGGGTGCCCTCATTGGGCTGCAGGGCTGGTGGCTGTGGGGCAGCCAGGCACCATCTGGGAGAGCAATTGGGGGGGGGTATCAAGGCAGACCCACCCTGCCCTGGGGTCTGACCCCTGGCCAGGGAGGGGTGAGGGTCCCCAACACCTTCTAGATCCAGCCCTCTCACCTGGTGGTTCTTGGCCTGTGGGAGCCCTCCATCGCAGAGTAAAATGGGGAGATTTGGGGTCCAGCTGGGTGTGGGGAAATGTGGGGGGCTGCAACAGGGCCCCTCTGTCCCCAGCCACTTGATGGCTACCCGAGGTCTGGGGTCCCCATTAGCAGGAGGGTGGTGGGACCTGGCAGCTGGGTGCTAATGTGTCGGGGAGGGGCCTCTCCCCCCACGCCGGGGTCTGGGGTGGGGGACGGGGTATTAATGAGCCCCACGGAGTGTGAAAGGACTCGATAACGAAGTTAAATGCCTCTGCCAAGGGGAGGAGGGTGCAGGGGCAAGCCTTTGAGGTGCAAAGCAGGCCCGCCACCCTCTCCCAGGCTGCATATCCCCTCCCACCGCGCTCCAGCCGGGGCTGAAGGGACTTTGGGACATGCTCCAGCCATGGGGATGGCCACAGCTGGGGGGAGCAGCTGGCAGTGGCAGGGCTGGGAGGAGGGACCTGTGGGTGTCTGGGCATCTGGGCCACCCCCAAATGCTGCACCTCAACACGAGGAGCCCTTGTGCACCCCGATGCCTGGCCCTGGCAGCAGCAGTGCCAGACCTGGGGGGCACCGGCAGCACCCCTCAGACTGGGGTCTGGAGCGGGTCCCCCCTTGGGCTGGGGGTCTCCCTCTCACAGATTGGGGCACGTCCTCTCTGTCCCTGTGTGTGAGCACCGTGCACACTTACACGTCCATGTACCGTGGGCGGCAGGGGAAGGACCGTGCTGTTCCGAGCTGCCGGCTTCGTCAAGGACCATTCCGAGCTGCCAAGGGCACCCACCTCACGGCACCTGCGGCAGTAGCTGTGGGCGCCAGCGCTCAGCAGTACCTGCCCCAGTACCCGCTCTGGTGCCCGCCCCGCTCCCCCTCGGGCCTCAGGGCAGATGTGGGAGCCTTTGGCACGGAGCCCCAGCAGCGCATGAGCACCGTCCCTGCCATGGCCTGGCTGGGGGATGCTGGACGGGACACCCCAGATGAAGGTGAGGTGGGGGGAACAGCATGTCTGGCCCCCTAGGAGTCAGCATGGGGGGTCTTCATCGTGGGCAGGACTGTACTCTGGGCAGGGGATGGGGGGACAGCAGGAATGGCCCAGGGTGGGTGGTGTGTTGGGGTCAGCTGCGGCTGCCTCCCTCTGCCCTGCTTGGTGCCAGGGACCCCTGTAGTCTGGAGATGTGGGGGGCCTCTGGAAGAGCAGCAGAATGCAGTGAACAGCTACGGATTGCACATGGAGCTGGGCTCAGAAATGTGGTGCTGGCACTGTGGCCCTTTGTCAGGGGCTCTGGGGGACGGGACCCCCAGTGCTGAGTGTGGCCTGTCCCCTTGGAGCTCCCACCTCAGGGCTGCCACTGCCCCTTTGCTGTTGAGGCAGGAAGGGGCCACGCAGACCCAGATGCCACAGTGGGAAATGCCAGCGCAGAGCCCCCCGGCATCGTGCCCTCCGAGCGGGGCTGTGCCTGGAGCCCCCCTGACGAGAGCGGCGAGGAGCCCCTGCGCCTGCCCACCTTCTCCCCCGCCGCCCAGGTGCGCGTGGCCGTCACCTTCGCCCTCTTTGCTCTCTCTGCCGGCTGCAACCTGGCCGTGCTGCGGGTGGCGGGGGGCCGGGGGGGCAGCCGGCGCCCCCACATCCGCCTGCTGCTGCGGCACCTGGCTGCTGCCGACCTGCTGGTGACGGTGGCGGTGATGCCGCTGGACGCCATCTGGAACATCACGCTGCAGTGGCGGGCGGGCGACCTGGCCTGCCGCCTGCTCATGTACCTGCGGCTGCTGGCCATGTACGCCTCCGCCTTCGTCACCGTGGTCATCAGCCTGGACCGGCAGGCCGCCATCCTGCGCCCGCTGGCCATCGCCCGCGCCCGCGCCCGCAACCGCGCCATGCTGCGCGTCGCCTGGATCCTCAGCGCGGGGCTGGCGGTGCCACAGGTACCGACCCCGGGGTCCCCAGCCCCTGTGCTGCCTCCCGGGGGTCTGGTGACACCAGCCAGGGTCAGTGCCTCGGTTCCACTGTGTGGCCTGCAGGGTGGGGATAGAGAGGGGCTGGAGAGCCTGTGGGAGGGGGATGGAGAGGGGTTGGAGAGCTCTCTGCGATGGGGATGGAGGGGTGTCGACAGAGGGGCTGTGGCAGTGACCCCTCAGGTGTGCCCACTCCCTGAGGTGCCCTCTGGACCACCAGCAGTGGGGAGCAGAGCCAGCGCAAGGGTGATGGTGGGTCCCACCCCACAGGCCGAGTCTGTCCCTCAGGTTCTGGGGTCCCAGCCTTGGCCTCTGATGCCCCTCCTTGGGGAGGTGCAGACCCCCATCATCCCCATCCCACTTCTCTTGTCTCCAGCTGTTCCTGTTCCGCACAGTCACCCTGCGCCCCCCCCACAACTTCACCCAGTGCACCACACGTGGCAGCTTCCCCCAGCCCTGGCACGAGACCCTCTACAACATGGTGGGCTTCGTCTGCCTCTTCCTGCTGCCGCTGCTCATCATGGTCTGCTGCTACATCCGCATCCTGCTGGAGATCTCCCGCCGGATGGGCTCCGGCCTTTGTGAGTTCTGGGCACCACAGGATGCGGCCCCATGCCCAAGGAAGCACTGGCTGGGGCTCTGTAGGGATACCCCCACCCTCTCCCAGGCATGGGGTCCCTGTCCCAGCCACATTTCCCCCTCACAGGCTGTGCCCCCCCAGTCTCCTCACGGGACGCGTCACTGCGGTGCTCCAGGAACAACATCCCACGGGCCCGGCTGCGGATGCTGCGGATGAGCCTGGTCATCGTCTCCTCCTTCATCCTCTGCTGGACACCCTACTACCTGCTGGGGCTCTGGCACTGGTTCTGTCCCCATGCTGTGGAGAAAAGGGTCTCGTCTGCCCTCACACACATCCTCTTCATCTTTGGCCTCTTCAATGCGTGCCTGGACCCCATCACCTACGGGCTCTTCACCATCCCCCTCCGGGGAGGCTGGGGCTGCCCCTGTGGGCACAGCCCCCCCACCCAGCCCCCCTCTCCAGCCACCGGCTCCTTCCGCTGCTCAGCCTCCTCCCTGCCACCCAAGCGGGGAGTCCTGGGGGCGCGGGGGTCCCGGGGGGCTGCCGGGGATGCCACCTGCCACAGCAGCTCCCTGTGAGACCAACACAACCCCTGGGGTGCTCAGGGCAGGGGGGTCCAGCAGCAGGACGGCCAGGCCAGCACAGGTCCAGCAGGGATGGGGTCGCTGCCACTCTCTTCCTGCATCCCAAAGCATCTCTGTGGGCTCAAGGCTAGAGGGGGTGCCCCCCATCCCATCTCCCCTCTCTGTGCTCTGCACAGCAATAAAGTGTCCCATGGCCACCTCTTGTCCTTCCTGTGTTTCTTGTCCGGGACCTGAGCTGAGGTCCCCAAAGCCTTGTCCCACTGGGGTCACAGGTGCCCCTGACCCCGCTACGGGGGGCTCAAGGGTCCCCAGGAAGGGGCAGATCCAAGGGCACCCGCGGGCTGGCCTGGGGACTGCCCTCCCTGTTCACTCCTGCAGGGTTCTCGGTCCCCGTGGGTGGGGGGCCTGGTCCTTGTGAGTGACACGGAGCTGGTGGCAGTCTCAGAGTGCTGCTGCCATTGGCTCTGTTCCAAACAGGAGCTCCTGGCTCCTGCCCAAGGCCGCTGGGAGGCACACAGGGCTGGTGCTCCTGCCTGTGGCAGCTGCCCCAAGGCCAGCGCTGACAGTGGAGGTGGCACAGCTCCTGGGGCCCGCAGGGGTGGGAGGGGGCTGTGGGTGCCTGGGCCCCTTACTCCTTCCTGCATCCTGAGCTGAGCCCTTCCCACAGCACCAGGAGCGATGCCTGGGTGATGGACAGACCATGAAGACTGCCCTGGCATCCCCCTGGCCTTGAGGAAGGGACCACAGAGCTGGGCTCTGCCTGGGGGGTCCCCACTGTTGCAGTGGGTCACTGGGCTCCCTCAGCCCCTTGGTCCCCACTGCCCAGTGGGAGACTGATTCCAAACCACTGACAGGGTGGCCTCATGCTGGGATAGCGCTTGGGGGGCTGCTCCTGCCAAGGGATCTCTCTAGCTCCTTCTCCTATGCCAGGAGCAGGTTTGGCTGGTGCAGACAGGGGGCAGGTAGGAGGGCAGGCAGGAGTGGTGCCCAATAACAGAGGTGCCAGCCATGCTTGCAGGGATTTATTTGGAAGTGGCAAAGGCCAGTGGAGTTGCTCAAGCTCTGGGAAGGGATCTCACGCCTGCTTGAGGGCTTGAGGCCACCAGGGGTCTTGCACAGGGGGCTCACCCCAGGGCTCTCCTGGGGGTGTCCATTTTGTGGGGCTCCAGGGAATGGGGGGCTGCAGTCCCAAGCACGTGGGGGTACTCAGTGCTGCTGGGGCAGGGATGGGGCTTCCCTGGCATCTATCTGCAGGGGGGGTGCATGGTGGGCTGACTCTCAGGCATGGACCCATGTGAGTATGAAAATACCACCTGGTAGGGGCAAATCAAACACTGCTGGCCTGAGAAATGCTTCGAGGGGAGGGGCTAGTAGAGCCACAGGACCACCCAGCAAAAAACCTGCCCTCATGGGATGCTGCTGCTGTGGCTCTGCTGCTGGGAGTGCCCTGGGACAATCGGGGTGCAGACAGAGACCCCCAGCCCATGGGCAGCTCTCCTCGGGCTGATGGCACTGGGTGGGCACCAGGTGGGCCAGAGCTGCCCCATCCCCTCGCTGGCCGTGCAGGGCTCTGAGGGGCAGCTCGTGGCCATTGCAGTCATGTCGGGCTCTGAGGGTCCCCCAGTGTCAATGGTGATACTGGTCCAGGGCACCCGCCCGCTTCTCACGGGAGCCAGAGAGTGTGGACAGGGTGGCCAGGCAGGGGGACAGGGCAGCAAGGTGGGCGATGGCGAGTGGGAGGCGATGCGGGGGGATGCCTGTACTTGGGTGTCCACGTCCACCCTGTCCACCCCGCTCAGCAGCGTCACGTCACCCCCTGCTCCCGCCTCCGGCACAGGTCAGAGGGAAAGCACAACCCCAGGGCCGCTGCCATCCCGCTCCCCGCTCTGCTCGGGCACCGACACATCGGCTCTAGGTGCTGGTCCCACTGCTGCCGGGTCTCTTCTCGGTGAAGAAGCTCTTGAGCAGCATCACCTGTCCAATGCTGACCACGAAGAGGATGAGGGTTTCCCCCACCGACCAGTATGAGACACGGCCATTGAGCTCCTCGGCTCTGCTCCGGTCCTGCGCCTCCCGCAGCCGGTAATGGGTCTGGGAGTCAATCACCGAGTTCAGCATCTCATGGATGGTGACGCAGGCGGATTCCATCTGGGGGACAAGGACAAAGGTGCCCCGTTGCTCCTGACACGGAATGACTGAGGGAGCAGGACACAGTCCCAAGAGCAGGACAGCAGTGCCTGTGGTGTCAGTTCCCCGCTGGACCCCACCCAGAGTGGTTCTGCACCGGGGCAGAGCCGAGAGCCCCGCCAGGGCACCAGGGTGCCCAGCCCAGGGGCTCACGCCCAGGGATGGAATGGCTGATGCAATTCCCTCTTGCAGGATGGACACCGGGTGCTGCAGCTGGGGGAGCCCAGACCCAGCAGAGCACCCCTGTCCGGGCAGAGGATGTGGTGGGGCTGTTGGCTGGCGGTTGGCACTTCTGCATCTGGTGGAGGGGAAGGGGGATGAGCCTCCAACCGCCGTTCTGTGAGGCCCTTTGAGGGCTGCAGCAGGACCTTTCTCTGTCCCTCCCTCCCTCCCAGGACCTACCTGTGTCAAGGCAGTGACGCGGTTGTTCATGTCGGGCAGGATGGGCGGCTCATCGCCCACCTGGAAGTCGAAGTAGACGATTTTGTGGGAGAAGGTGGAAAACTCATTGCTGAAGCAGAAGGTGTAGACACCCTTGACCTCAGTGCGGTGTGGGAAGCTGTCGTACTGCTTCTTGGTCTCCTGGTAGATGGTCTTGCCATTGGGGTCCTCCACGTAGCAGTCTACGTCATAGTGTCCCCCACTGATCACCTGCGTGGGGAGACAGAGGTGGCACCTGCCCAGTGACTTGGCGAGGGCCCCCTGCCCCTGCCTGGCCCCACAGCTGTTTGAGAGGCCAGCGGGCACCATGCCCATGGGATGGGGCCAGGCCAGGGGAGCCCTGGAGAAGCTGTGCCCCACAGTGCCAGCAGCTCAGGTAGCGTGGCTGAATACAGGGACAGCCCCCAGGGCCAAGGTCAGGGGCTCCCATGGCTGCTGTGGGCACACCCCAGCCCTGGCTCCCAGGTGGACACTGCTGGTCACAGGGCTGGGGCTGGGAACAGCTCCTGGTGCAGCACGAGGGGAACTGAGGTACGCATGGGAGGGGGGAACTGCAGCCCTGCATGAGGCTCTGTAGGGCTCGGGGCAGGGGCACAGGCAGGGGCATAGGCAGGGGCAATAGGCACACACATGGGCAGGGGCGTGGGCAGGAGGGCACGGGCAAGGAGGCACAGGCATTGGCATCGACAAGACAAAGGCAGGGGCATTGGGATGGGGCACAAGGGGGGTGCAGGCAGGGAGGTGCACGAAGGTGCTGGCAGGGGCATGGGCAGGGGCTGCAGGCAGGGCGCATGCAGGGCTGCAAGCAGGTACGGGCAGGTACACGGCAAGGGGGTATCAGCAGGGCACGGTCAGGGCAGTACCTGGTAGTCGAGGGTGAACTTGATGCCGCTCTCCAGCTCCTGGTGGAAGCAGCGCCGGTCGCTGTCGGGCAGCTCCAGCGTCAGTTCCGTCCCGCCGGCCCCCAGAGCGCCCAGGAGCGCGGCCAGGCACAGTGCCCGCACCGCGACACGCACCGCGCCCGGCATCGCGACACGCACCGCGACACGCACCGCGACACGCACCGCGACACGCACCGCGACACGCACCGCGACACGCACCGCGACACGCACCGCGACACGCACCGGCACCGGGACCCGCCCCCCTGACGTGGCGCTTCCGCTGCGGGCGGGGCGGGGCGGGGCGGGGGCGGCACCTCCGGCACTGGGGCGGGCACCCACCGGTACCCCGGGAACCCCCCAGGCACCCCTGGGAACCACCCGGCGTCTCTGTGCCGGGCACTCCGGGAATCCCGCGGGGATCCCCTCGGCACTCCCCGGACCCCCCGGGCCGGCCGGTGCCGGATCCCCGCACCACGAGTCTGTCCATCCAACGGCGAGCGCTTTATTAATGCAGCGATCGTGAAAAAGTCCCCGCAGGGACACAGCGTCACCCCGGCACCTGCCCCTGCACCACTACACACACGGACTCCTGTAAATAAATGCATTAATGGAATCTGTGGGCAGCCACGGCCCACGGCCGGCCCACGGCGCACGGAGCGTGGGATGAGGGGTGGGGTGAGGAGTGCTCCCTGCGCAGGGCGGGCAGCAGAGCGGGGTCCCGGCTGTGTCGCGGTGCCTGCGACTTTCCCTGTGGATGAACCCGTTGGGTCGGCCCGTGCCATCCTCGGTTACTTGGCATCCCGGCTCCCACGCCGCCGGCAGAGGCTTCCTATGCAGCCAGGCTGGGACCTGAATCCTGCCCGGGGATTCAGCGCTTAGAGCTATTCGGAGTGGTGGCGAATGAACGCCCTGAACCTCAGGCGCTTCAGAGACGAGACAAGACCATCCTGGTCCAGAACTGAGGTGCCGGGTGAGCTCAGCTGCCGAAGCTCTCGGGAATCTCGGAGGTGGAGGATTGTCTCCCTCTCCCGCTCTGAGAGGGCACCGACACGGTCCGTTGCCGGGGGGAGTGTTCCCGCTTCTCCAGCCCCCGCAGCACTGAGCCCCTTCCCCTCCTGGAAGGCACTTCATGAATGCTCGGCCCCAAGGATCACTGCTGGGGGCTCCGGGGGGAATTCGGTGTCAGAACGAGCGGGATGAATGAAAAGTGGATTGTGACTAGTGAGGAATAAGGGAACTGCAGGCAGGATCGGATCCTTGGCACGGAGCCTAGCGATCTCGGACGGTCTGGGATTGGCCTCCCAGGTGGTCGTTCCTGATTCAGCCTCTGGGCTCAGGTCTGACCCCCGCGGCCATCAGTGTGTCCCTGGAGCGGGTGACCACTCCATCTGGGACTGTCCCGTTTCTGCAGGGACAGCGTGGCTTTGGGAAAAAAAAGGTGACACAGCTACTGGGCCACAACCTCCTCAAAATCAGAGAGGTGCCGCATCTGCTCTGCCTGCATGGAGTGTCTGCGGAGGAGCTTCCTGCGGGCTCTCAGGTCGCCCCGCCTGGGAGAGCTGGGTGCGAGGGGCACCAGGGGCTTCAGCCCAGCAGCCAACGGGGAGGGAGCTTTGCTGGAGCCAATGTCAGGGATCGGGGGGTTGGGGTTCACATTCAGCGGGGGCAGATATCCCGGCCTCGTGTGGGAGATGTGGTCTAGCAGCAGGGTCCCGGATCCTCGCCTCTCCAGCAAGCCAGGTGGTCGGCGCCGGACAGTGCTGGGTGATGTGCTTGCACTGCCAGAGGGAGACTCTCGTGAGCCATCCAGCAAGGCCAGGTGGGACCCACTCAGCTTCCTCCTCTCCGATGGCCCCTTCCCCATCTCGGTGAGGTGGGGGTCTCCGTTGTGCTCCGTGCCTGGCCTCCACCAGTGCAGAGCGTCCATCCCCGTGGCTGAGCTGGCGGCTGAGCTGGTGCTCTCTGGCTCCTCCGGCACTGTGCTGCTGTGGTGCAGGCGCGGGTGGGCAGCCGGGCTCTTCTCCTGGGTGGCTTTCCATGCCAGCGGCCCCAGTGCCTGCTCGTCCACCATAGGAAAGACAGCGGGGTCCCTGCCCTTGCTGCTGCTGCTCCGAATGAGGGGGGTCTTTTTGGAGAGCGAGAGGTCTCCAATGCCCATGATGACATCCTCGTCAGCACAGATGTGCGTGTCATCACGGTGTGCCGAGGCTGCCAGCACTGAGGGTGCCACCAGACCCCACGGCTCCGACCGCAGCCGCTTCAGCCGTGGCAGATGGGTTTTCCGGGCAGTACCAGCTCTCTGGCCTGGGGAGGGTGGCTCAGTGTCCCCAGTGTCTCCAGGGTGTGAAGCGTGTGGGGTGAGAATGCTGCTCTCCTTCTCTTCAGGAGAAGGTGCTGAGATGGAATTTTTCAGGTGGACATGGGAGGGTGCTGCGCCCACCTCGGGGGGGGCTCTCTCTTTGAACTCCAGCACAGGGGGAACATTCAGGTACTGCTTGGTGGTCTTAGTGCCAGAGGCTGATATGTCCATGGTGATGATGATCACTTCCTTCCCCTTGGCTCTGCAGGCATCCAGGAGGTGCTGCAGCACAGCCTTGTCATCGGCATTGATGGCGTGGACCAGCGCCGAGGCTCCTGAGCGGTCCTCCAGGCTGGGGTCTGCCCCGTTCTCCAGCAGCAGGGACACCACCTCCCCCCCAGCCCCACGGATGCAGGCGTGCATGAGGGCAGTTTTCCCAGACTTGTCCTGGATGTTGGGGTCAGCTCTGTTGTCCAGCAAGTACTTCACCATCTTGGCCTTGTGGATGCTCTGCTGGTCGACGTGTGTGGTGATGCAGGCCACCATCAGGGCGGTCTCTCCCTTCTCATTGCTCTCGTTGATGTAAGCCCCCCCTTCCAGCAGCAGCCGGGTCAGCCGGAGCCGGCCGAGCCACACGGCCTTCAGGAGGGAGTTGCTCCCCAGCTCTAGCTCTGTCACCTCATCCATGGCACTGGCTGCTGCTCGGTGCTGGGTGATGGCAGCAGTGGCTGGTGGCTGCAGGAGGAACCGTGGAGAGGTGAGCCCTGCTCCTTCATCCCCGCCTTCCCGGGATGCCATGCTCCGGGCACTGCTCTGCACCCCACTGCCCCTCTAGCCACATCCACCCACCTCCTGCAGGCAGCTGCCCAGATGCACTGGTTTCCTGAAGAGATCGGAGAGTTCTTGATGGTCTCCACTGGCCTGCTAGGTCTGGGGGGCCACAGCACGAAGCCCACTGGAGACAGTGTGAGCATCCCACATTGCTTCTTAGGCTGGGGAGCTGGGGTCTCTGCTTCCCCTCTGCTGGAGGGAAGGAGAAGCAGCCACAGTCATGCTTTCTACTGTGTTTCTACTGCACCCGGCTTCTACTGCTCCCAGTGCCCCCTGCTCCTGCTGCCCCCGCCCCTGCTCTCAATGACCCCCACTCCTGCTGCCCCCGACTCCTCGCTCCCGCTGCTCCCCATTCCCTGCTCCTTCTTCCCTCTGCTCCCTGTCCCAGTCCTCAGGCCGTTCCTGGAGCCCTGGGCAGCCGGTGCCCCCAGAATCCCCCCGGGGTGGGCACAAACCGCCCAGCCGTTCCCCACGCCCCCGTGCCCTCTGTGGGTGTCCTGCAGCCCCTGGACCTGCGGTCAGTGCTCGCACCGGGGCAGCGCCAGCGGTGCAGCCCCGTCCGAGAGCTCCCCACGGCCCCTTCTCGTGGGGACCCCTCGAGCCTGGGGAGACCCGGGCGTCGGTTCTTCCCCACCCCCGCCAGGCCAGTGCCTCCCGGCGCCCCTCCACCCCGGGGCCATCCCGGTCCCGCTCCCGCCGCCGCCCCCGGCTGGTGGGGATGGTGGGAGCGCCCCCCACCCCCGGCCCGCTACCTGCTGCCCGGCGCCGGTGTCGGTGCCGCTGCCCTGTGCCCTGCGCCGGGGCTGCTGCCGGTGTCGACGCCCGGTGTCGGTGTCGCTGCCCTGTGCCCCTGCCGGGGCTGGTGTCAGTGCTCGGTGCCGGTGCCCGGTTGCCGGTGTCGGTGCCCGGTTGCCGGTGCCGCTGCCCGGTGCCGCTGCCCGGCGCTGCGCGAGGAGGAGGGCGCGGGGGGGGCGGCGCGTCCGCCCGGGGGTGGGTGCGGGGAGCGGCGGGGCGGAGGTGTCCGCGTGCCGGGGGGCTGGAGCGGTCCGTGTCCCTGCCTCCGGGTGCGGGGGAGCGTGTTCGTGTGCGGGGGTCCGTGTGCGGGAGTGTGAGGGGGGAGTGTCCGCGCCCACCCGTGCGGGGGTGTCTGTGTGCGGGGGTGGGATGTGAGTGTACCTGCCCTCGGGGATCTCCAGATGGAGATGGTGGGACCCTGCCGTGGGCAAACCGGTCTGAGCCCACAGCCGGCCCCACTTGGAGCCGGGGGAGATTAGGAGCGCCCTGAGCCCCCTCTGGGGTTAGTAACCCTGTGGTCTGAGCGCACATCTGGGGAACCCCGAGCACACATCTGGGGCACCCGAGAGCACGCCTGGGGCACTGGAATGCTCTGTGCCGTGCAGGGGAAGCCGGGGTCCCTGCATCTGCTCCTCGGGCAGAGCTCCCTGTGCCAGTGCGATGTACCAGGACTAGCACCAGCCTGCTGTCCCTCCGGACCTCCTTTGTCTCCAGATCGCCTTTGTCCCCAGATCTCTCATCCGTACAGGAACCTGCTTCCCAGCAACCTCCTCCACTTTCCTCGGTGGATCTTTTGAAGCAGTCCCAACAGGAAGAGGGAATTGGGAGGAAGGGGGAAATGGTCACACCTGACCCACCACTATAGCCCCCATGGCTCTGTACTTCCACAGGCCATTGCAGCTGTGAGGGTGTTTGTCATTGCACCCTCTGGATCATGTTAACATTAGGGGGAATTTCTCTTGTGATTAATAAAATATAATCTAGTATTTCAGTGTTCTTCAGTCAGAGATGAGGATGACAATGAGAATCAGAGCCAGCAGAGATATTAAGTCAGTCTTATCACATTAGGGAGCATTTGGAAAACCTTATGGCAGCTTTGTCCTGACTCTGTTAATGCAGAGTTAATGCAGTACCTGCCTAAACTGGCCATAAAAGCCCCAAAAATGTGTCTGTCTGTCCATTTTCTGTGCATGAGCACACCAAGTTACTTGTAGAAAATAAACACCTTAACTTTTAAAAACACAGTAATATAAAGACCTTAATAAAATAAACACCTTAAAAAAACCTCCTGAAACCCGCAAGTT